AGAACTTCATCAGCTTGCAATGTAGAGCCATAGCATCGTATGTGTGATCCTCCGTGGCCATGTGCTTAACCGAGAAGTAACCGTTGTCTATATAGAAGCACGCATCGTTTTCCGCAAAGATATTTATGCCCTTCTCATAGAAGCGCTGGAAAACAAATCAACTGAATATGGAGAAGGCACAGAATGAGAATGATAACATACCCGACGCAGTTCACGAAAGTCGGTAATAGGAGTCTGTATATCCAAATACTTGACCGGATGTGCCACATAATTCTTGCTTATATCCGTAACATAGCCCCTAACTCCTGCAGCCGAAATGTAGAGTATAACACGTGCATGAAATGTGTCAACGCTTAGAATAATTTCATCATTGCTAAAGCAGGGGCGAAAAAAAAGAAACATTTTCAAATGAGATACAGGATATAGTACAGATACTTATATCTTACTTTTCTTCGTTGGGTTGCAGGCTCCAGTCACGGAAAGGGAAATGCTCGTAGCGCTTGTACGCAAATCCAAAGAGGCCCAAACGATCCGTCTGGATGTTCATGGTGCGTGCTTCCTTGTCAAATTTGTAAGAAATTATGTGCTTGGTTGTCCAGCGTATGACCCTTTGCTTGGGCTTCTCCGCCTCTACTTCCTGTTCTTCTGGAGTACGCGGCACGGTCTCTGGTGAGTGGGCTTCCTCCACTTCGTCTGCCATTGTGGTGCGGCTCGATTGGGCGCCAGTCATAACTGTGGAGCCTAAGTTACTCGGTCGTATAGCGGTCATATGCTTGCTCTGTATTCGAACCGTTGATCTCGTTTTAGCGAACGATATGCCAGTTCGTGAATCCGAGCTTTGCAGTGCCTTTTTCGGTGGCTTTTTGGCCGTAAAGTCAGACTGAGACATAATGTCAATGTGCCTAGTAATGTATCTGGTGGAGATATTGTCAAAGGTTTCGATCAGGCCATACATGGACTTCTTGTCATAATATGGCTCATCAATATCACCCTCAGCATAATGCATTCGCTCCACAGCCTCAAAAACGGGATAGACCCTTTCAGCTGCATGCTGTACGTTATAATCGAAATCCAAATCGCCAACAACAACAGCTTCCTCAGTATCGACGCTGCGTCGCCTGATCAAAAGATTTTTCGGCTTTGGTCGATTATCGGACTGCTGCTGTTCGAGCTCCTCTCTCACTTCCAATGGGAATTTGAATGAAGACAATATCCGTGGCACACAATATCGTTCCAACTGCCGGATTTTCTGATGATCCAATTTTTGCATCAAATTAAAATTTTCGACCGGCACCACACGCTCTCCAGGCAGTAGCTTACGGCTGGTTCTTAGCAAGGCAATCAGCGTGGGCCGAAATATGTTGATTGTTGAATTTGGGGCACGGCGAATTTGAGTCAATTGTGAATCCTCGATTACCTGGGCTGCTGTCTGCTGCTGGGTGGGCAGTGTGCTGATCCTAGATTTCTTTCTCTTCGCGACCACTTCCTTTTTTTCCTCAACTATTGATGTTTCCGATTTGACCTCCTCCATGGTATCCAGGTATTGGCAGGGTATGGGCGTTCCCCATAGACAGAACTCCCGTGCCATCTGTATGGTCACAAAGAAATATGGCAATTCATCGTCCTCAAGCATATGGGTCTTGCGCTTCTGTTCGTCCATTAACATCTTTGATCGCTTTGTCATCACTTTGGTTGCTCTGGGACCAAATCGACTGTCACGATATGAGTTAAACAGATCGGCCACAACTTCGCGCTTAATGTGCAGTAGTCGTCCGTCCTCGTGCAGGGTGACATTAAACGTCTGGTAATGGGTATCCGTCGGACGACGCACGAAATTGATTGAATATAGGCCGCCTAGCAGTATGTGTTGCCTCAGATTGATCTGAAAGTTCAATTGATCCAAGTGAAAATTTGATTTCAGAAATGATTGAGAAATTTACAATATAAACATGAATGAAAGACAGGCTACAGATTGTTAAAACTTGTAAAACAATGGATAAATTGTAGCACCCATCTTTTGCATTAGGCATACTTCCTTCGATTCAGGACTTACCACGTCGTCATCTATTTTGAGATGTCTTGGATGGTATATTTCATCGAGCAGATCCAAATACTGTTGCTGTTCGCGTTCCAGGAATGTGCTATACGGTTCGGGCAACATACCTGGCGGCACCAGAAGCGCTTCCTTGGGCGGTTTAGGTATGACGATCTTTGTCTCTTTGCCATCACTGTTCTTCTTTTCCTTGGCGGCGCGCTCCGTTCGCTCGGTGATGACGCGCATTATTTCCTCATAGATCTCACGTTTCTCAAGCAAAATGGCCAATAGTTCCTTTTGTATGTCCAGCTGCATCAGCCATTCGTTGATCAAGCATTCCTCGATATCCAAAATGCCCGCATTGACGTCCACATTGCCCTCCGGAATGGGTGGATCGAAACTTTTCGCATATTGCGAGTAGTTGTCGAAGTTTGAGTGAATGCAACGCAATGTGAGGCAATCGTGGAGCACGCTGAGCGGCATCTGAACACGAACGGACGTAGCAGCCAGCTCGGCGACCATTAGAGGAGCTCTAAGGACAACAGCTAAAACCAAATGGGATTGAAAATAAGTCATATACTCACAGCAATTCCTCGAAACGAACAGGAACATCGCGCAGAGCCCAGATATCTATGCCATATCTAGGGCAACTATGACTCCAGGTGGCTACCAGGCCATCCAGAGAGCTGTAAAATAACCTTTAGCTAGGACAACAAATATAGAGTACTCATAAGCAAGCCTTACTCCATGTAGACGCCATCCATGCGTATTACCCGATAGGTCATACGATCAAACGAGTCATCAATCTCATGTTCAATCTCACGCCGCGCCTAAAACAGAATTATAGGATTATCGATTGTGAATTGGTATTGTGAGCTCACTCACTTCCATGATCTCCATTTGACGTGCAAAGTCCACCCGTTCCATTTCAATAGCCGTATCGAGCATGCGATCGATCTTGTTGAGCGTATCCAGAAACATGGTGATGTCTCGCTCATATTGATCGCCTATAGCATCGTTGAGCTGCTCCTTGACCGTTTGCCTGGTTAGATCTTTGCGGAATATGTTCTGTGTGAGTATGGTACGATCGTCAACGGACAAGGTCCAGTCCACGCTCCGCTCCGTGAAGAATTGTTGATAGTAACGCTTCTTCGCCAGAAACTGGCGCATTTCGGGTGGCAAATATGGGCGTGGCAAGCCGTCACAGCGTAAAAAGTTTTCCCAATGCTCGACAGCGGAGCGCTCCTCCTCCAGCCGATGGAATTCGAGTGAGGATTCTGCAAAACGACAAGTTATCGGCTATCGATCATCGAAATTATCGGCCAATCGTTTGCTTACCCTTGATAAAGTTGCAGCAAACTTTAATTTCCTGCAGCTTTTGCATATACTTCTTCTCCCGCTCCTTCATTTCCTGCACGCTAATCAGCACCCCCGGACCTTCATCTTTGGGTTTAACCATCGTGTAAAAATTGTGTGTGTATGTGTGTGTTTATGTAGCGTGTACCTGCCTCTATATGCGTGTGCGTTTAACAGTTAACTTATATAACATGTAAAAGGTTATATGTATATGTATATGTGTGTTTGTGTTGTCATGACAATTAATTCATGATCGGGTCTGTTATACCTTGTCGGAACGAACCAAATCGAATTTGAAATTGGAAAAGTCGAACTGCAGACGCGTGTTTCCATCTCCTACTCCTGCTCCATGGTCATAACTCAGCCAGCATGTGGGTGCGGTTGGTCAGGCAGCCAACTCCTCGCCAACTCCTGCTCCTATCTCCGAAATTTATTTGGGCCTCGTGCCAGAAAAACTTGCGACTTATTTATGCTTTTTGTGCAATTTTCTATTGCAACTGCGAGTAGAGAAAGTGTAGCTAGACTCTTGGCTCGTGACTCGTAGCCAAATGTGGAAACGGGGAGCGAACAAGGAAAGGTGCAATCAGACGTGTGCCGAAATAATAAATACTCAAAGAGCGGAGATAAGTAAAGTGTCTATAAATCAAGTAAAAGAACAGAAGACAGCAGAAGCCGAAAAGTAGAAAGATAAAAAAGTAGAATACTGGAAAAGTATAATAGGTGCGATTAGATGAGAGAAAGAGAAGATTGAAGATTAGAAGAGTAGAGAAGTAGAAGAGCTGGAATTTGAGTGGAAGGAAGAGTAAACTAGTGGAAGAGTAAAAATATGAAAGACTATAAAAGTCGAAGGATAGAAGATAAGAATACATAATGAAATAGTAGTAGAAGTAGTAGAAGAGAGGTGTAGAAGATGGAAGATATTTCGCATATGTATATACACATTTCATGACATAATTAAAATGCTCTTTCGCCAGGGTATTCGTTAGACAATGGCTCGTTCGCAATCAATTGATTAAGTTTTATGTCGCATTGTTAACCGAGCCATTTACATACGCTTACACGATTCGTCGTCGTCGGAGACAGACATGAGCTCTGAGCAGAGAGCTGCGTCTGATCGATTACATTGATGAATGAATTTCAGAGCAACGACTGGACGACAACGACAACTCCCACACAGCTGCACGCAAGCTCGAGAATCGCATCTATAGAGCTTGGTTTCTGCCTCCTCCCTTTCTCGGAGTATCTCTGTCTGTCTCTAGCTGCGCCTACTATTCTCTTGAAATTTATTTGTTGCCAGTTGTCTTTTAAATAAATTTCTTGTCAACCGTTCACACACAACTACGTCCATGTGCATGTTGGCCAACCAGCGTCCTCTTTTGTACAAAATATCCTGTATTCAATGGAATTGGGTTAAAAGGGGGTATATTGGTTGAGAACTTGTAAAGGAATATATTTCGGAATCATTAGAACGAGCTGAACTAAGAGATATATCTATATCAGAGCAATAGAGCATTACAATAATACTAGTAAGAGAGGGAAAGAGAGAGAGAGAAAGCGAGAAGTAAGTGAAAATATATTTTATATAGATTCTACAAACCTATGTATTTCTTATTCTACATATACATACATATACGCATGTCTTTATATAGAAACATTCACTGAATAGCAGTATCTAATTTACAGGGTATTTCTGTGCGTCTATCAGCGCATCTAGTCAGCTGTCTTAGCTGTTGGTCGTAACATTCATCAGTTGTTTAGGCTCTGGACTGCGTCTGTAATAAGTCACTCCGCTTGACAAAGACAAAACATTTCAAATAATTTAATGAACTTGACAGACATCTCGTTCCCCCATTTGTTGCAAATACTTACGTATGTCTATATGTACATATATAGTGCCAGCATTTTTTTGTTGGAATTGTGGGGATTACAAAATGAGAGCCAAATAGTTTTGACACCTATTGGCAGCAAATCAATTGAATCGAATGGGGTCCCAAGATAAACGCCAATGCAGTTGAGAGTTAATGACGAGCAAATCATTTTGCCTAGCCATGCAATCATTCAATTATAAGCAGCTCCATGTTGCAGCTGCCCCACGTTGCAGGCAGCAAGCAGCAATCTGCAAGTTGCAAGCTGTTCGATCCTTAGCAATTTTCTCGAATTGGATGACTAGATGACTAGATGACTTGGAATGACTGGATGACTTGGCTGACTTGGCTCTGTCTTGGCTCTGACTGGACTGACTTCGCAAAGAGCCACCTCACGTAGTTGTCTGATGTCCATGTGGCATGCAACATGGCTAACAAGCGAGCTGACTCCAGCTACACACAGCTCCAATTCAGCTCCAAGTGGAGCTGCAATTTGGTTCATTGCTGGCCAAAATAATTGACATCTGTATAGAAGTTGTTTGCCATTTGATTTGCGGCTATAATCGAACAAGTGCAACGGCAGCCGATTACGTTGCCAGCGAGTGAGAAATTATGCCAAAATCAAATGCTGGGAAAGTGTATAACAAATGCACTCCCTCGCCGTCTCCTCCTCCTTCTCCGTCTTCTGCTCAACACTTGCCACATAACTTAACGACTGCCTTATCGGTTCGAGCTGCGATTAGAAAGCGCTCAGAAAAATGTTGTCCATGTTTCACATTGACAGCAACTTGTTTACCGTTTTTACTCACTCTCTCTCTCCCCATCTCCCTTTGTCTTCCTCTTCTTACTACTTTTTTTTGTAAATGTTTAAACAATGCTGCAACTTTTGGCATTTACATGAGAATCGCTGCTGCTCACAGAAGACGAGAAAAAAAAGCAGCTGAGCACAATATGAGCATAGATTCTGTTCGCCCGTTGCGACCCAAGTTGTGGCAGCTGCCACAAATTGAGTCTAATTAATTTGCAGCGAACTGCATGACCAACTTTCTATGCCCTGCCAGCCAGTTAGGGCATTGCACTTTACTCAAGCGGTTTGTCCCTCAACCAAACATGGCAGCATTACCATAAAGAGATTCTGTTTTATGATCTTCCCGTTTTAGACTTTTGTCCAGTCTTCTGTGGCTTATAAAGAATTTGATTTATTAGCTTGAATTTCTTATACCATACAAAATGACAAATGCGGACAGGCAGAAGCTCAACTGTTTGGCTCTTCACTTCTCAAAATTTTCGCTAATTATTTACTCAAACAGAACCTAGAGGCCCCACATGTATGCCTTAGCTTTGATAGCTCTGCGGCTAGTGTATAGACTTGGCTGCATTGACAAAAACTTTAGTTAATTTCTTAACGGTAGATGCATGTTTTTCTATGTTTAAACAATGCATTTGAGAAAAAGCTACAGCAAACAACAACAACAACAACAACTAACAACAACAGCTAACTACAAATTTGTTTAGTCTGAAAATCTATGCAAAGGCAATTTGAATAGCCGAACGAGCGAGCATTCAGCTAATGCCTCAGATATGTAAATTAGAAAAAACTAAATAAATTCTTTGCCCAGTCGCCAGTTGCCAGTTGCCAGTTGCCAGTTGATTGGCTTAGTCCGAGGAGCATACCCATCTCGAACCGAGAGCCCCAGACCTAGGCCCAGTTTCTCATTTTCCCAGTCCAGCTACGTTTGCTCTTTTACTTAATTGTTGTCTGTCTCTATCTATCGCTCTCTGTCTCTATCTCTATCTATGTCTTTCGATTTCTTTATTTTGATTTTCATTTAAAATTTACATACATTAAAAGCGCACATTGTTTGTGGCATCTGCAGAAGCCAACGCTGATGAAAAGTGAGCGTGGAAAGCGGCCAAAAGAAATAAAATAGGAATGCTCCGTTCGGCCAAAAGAAATAAAATAGGAATGCTCCATTTGGCGACAACCGACCAGAAAATACATTTACATTTTTTGATGTTGAATTGTCCAAACGATTTTAATGATGCCGACTAGTATATTTAGCTGCATTTAAGCGTAAGGTGTTTGATCTATAGTTAAGGTGGGTCATGTCGAGCTAAAATTAATTAAAATTCTGATTTTTATTCTCTACTTTTGAATAAGTAAAATGTGTCTAATTTTTGTTCATTTAATAGAGATCTATACAAAAAATATTAATACAATTTTTTCAATTAAAAATCGATGAAATTTTGCTCAAATGGGAACTATCTAGAGGTAATATGTTTACATACACATACATAATATATACCATACGGTTTCAGACTATATACATAGACTTTCATATAACATTTAAAGCATTGTATTTTTTAAATTTTAATTTAAATTTTAACCGAAAAGCCAATTCCAATTCCAATTCCCATTCCGATTTCGATTTCAATTCCGATCTATAAGCAAACTGACCAAACTTTTTCGCTCTCTGAGCTAGTTAGCAATAGCTAGAGCAATGGACAGAGGGGCAATGGGTATATCGTTTTGGGAGGCAATTTAAAGTTTCGCCAGGCCACACCCAAAGTGACAGTTGCCACCGATGCGGCTGCCGCTGCTGGTGGCAAAAGGCCTCAAGTGCCGCCTTATCAACTGACGCCGGACAGTTGCAACAATTTGCATTTGCGAGTCAGTTGAAGTTTCTACTTATCGCACTATGTCCCTGCGCGCTCTCTCTCTCTCTCTCTATCTCTCGCTGCGTCTCTTTCTCAGTCTGTCTGTTGCATACGTAGCTCATTACGAATGCAACTGCGAGGATTGGCCTGAGCCTGGGCTGTCTGTCGTGCAACAAGTGGCAGGCAGTCGGGTTAGCGGCAAATTGTGCTGCCACATTTAATTGGCAACTTTTGGCACGCTCAGCCACGTTGCCTTTATCGATTTATGATGACGACAAACCGACAGACAGACAGTCCACCGAGCGAACGGACGGACGAACACATGGACAGACAGTCGGACAGATTTTCTAGTTTTCCAGTTTCTTTTACTCAATCTCTGATTGCTGCCACAGCTGTCCGCTCAATATGAAAATGCAAATTTAAGTGGCAAACGGAATGACAGAGTACTAAAAAAAAACTGGAATCAGAACTGGAACTGGAACTGGAGCTGGCACGGACGGGAACGGGCTGAAGCGGCGGAAATCCCAGCTGGGCCCAGCTGGTTGTGCAAATAAATATTATTACTTCAATAAGGCTGCCAACTGTGCCCGCATTTAATTATACGGCAAGGCATAATAAAGACTGCAGATACCCTGTAATTGCTCCCTAATTGGCCAACTTATAACTATCGGCTGTAGCAGCTAAAAGAGTAAAGCAATGATGCGTATCGCAGCTCCTATGCCAAATATTTTAGCTTTATTTTCTAAAATCGATAATTATCGATGTGCAGTTGATTTGAATATGAAATCTTGTGCAGACTCTAGTTTACCTTAGTGAATCGAGGGCAACTAGGTAGTCGATCCCACACTTCTTGTGCATAGAAAACGGCAAACACAATCAGCGCTTGATCAAAAATCAATATAATTTCGTGTCGCGCTTTAATGAAGCATTTTTTGGAAGCACAATAACAGAATAAGCAATTGTCATGCGGTTGCAAATGAAATGTTGCAGTTGAAATGTTGCAGTGAGTGGGCACAGCAGCGCTTGGCCCCGATCGGTTCGACAAGGCGTTGGCTTTCGATTCGCAAATGTCTGACTCAGAGTTGAACTAGTTGTTGGCCAAGAAAATTGTTTGGCTGCTCATTGCTAATATAAGTGCGAGCAGTTATGCTTTATTTAATTCAGCCACGCCCAAAAGCAGCTGCAATCGCTGCAGCAGCAACAGCAACAGCAGCAGCAGCAACAGTTGCTGCTTGTTAGACAAGTTACCAAAAATAGACCAACAACTGGCTGAACTTGGCTTGACTTGGCTTGGCCTAGCCGGATCTGGCTTGGATTGTAATTGCCAAGACGCCCCTCTCTGCTGTAAAAGGGGGCGTAATTCATATTCGACTTTTATGGTGTTGCACGCGTTTTGCATTCCCAGCAGCAACAGCAACAGCAGCAGCAGCAACTGTTGCAGCTGCAACTTGAAATCTCAACACTTTATAGGCCACTCGCTGGACAGTTATTATATGTGGCAGCGCTTAATGAACATGTCTCTAAGTCCAGCTAACAAACTGGCTCTCTTCTTCTCTCGCTGTCTCCCTCTCTCACGCGGCTTCCTTCTCCCTCTTTTGCTCAATCATAATCCCGCTGTTCGTCTGTCTTGTCTGAGCTTGCAATTGATGGGTTCAACAGATCCGTTAGTGCCAAATTACAAATAGGCTGCACAGCCAGGTGCTGCAGCCACAGAGCGAGAGCGGGAGAGAGAGGGAGATAGATAGATAGGCAGATATACAGAGATATAGGGAGCGGCATATGGAGTGAGCACATGAGCTGGAGCTGGAGCTGCAGCTGGACGTGGCAATAACCAACAAGACATTAACCCGGCGCATGCCTTGCCTCGGCGGCAAGCTGCATGCTGCATGTTCAATTATTGAACTCTCAGCTACAGTGAGCACTCGCTTGCAGCGCCACATAAACAGCTGCTGAGTGCTAGCGCTGCTGGCCTAGCGAGCTGCAATTGCAACTGCAGCCACAGCCGAAGCCAAAGCCAAAGTCCAAGTCAATAGACCCAAGCCAGCCACGCCCCGCACTTCGCGGCGTCCACCTCTGCCCCTCAGCAGCGGGCCACAAAAACATAAAACAATAAAGTTGGGCGCTGCGCTAAAGAATAATCGCATAAATCATGCGGACTTGCGGCAACGCGCGGCATCTAAGCTTCACTAACGGGCAAACGGACCAACGGGCAACGGGCAACGTGCAACAACAACGTGCAACAAGCCGAACCGCCGTAAACCAAAAACAAAAACAAACCAAAGTTCAGTACACAAACACAGTATACGCAGTGGGCCAAATGCAATTTGTCTGAGAGTTTGTTTAAATATCGAATAATCATAGCTGAGCCAGTGAGACTCGAGAGAGATTGGGATATTCATTTTAAATTTCTAGCTGTTCAGTTGAGCTTAAGGATTTGCGAATGGTCCAAAAACTGACGAACGGATAGGAAGGCATCGCAAGATCAGCATAGATTGAATCAAACATATAAATATGTATAGACTCTTTGAAGTCTGGCACGAATTCTTCAGCATATAACATAGATAATAATATATACTAAATTCTCATAATTTATATATGGAATTTCAATAAATTTCTTCACTGCAATAACTTATAATTCTAAATATAATATTTTATTCCCTTATTTATTATATGCTCCCATTATAAATATAGTATTTCTAATTCATTCATTTATTTCAGATATAAATAATGCTTGCTCAAAAATCGATACACTTTCCTTGCTAACTTTTATGGAATCTTTAAATCGGTAACTATAAAAATATTTATTCTTAATAAAATTTTTAAAAAATTCAAATAAATTTATCAATTTCTACATATGAAAAATTTCAATTTCAATCACTTTCGTACCACTGTGCTTTGGACCAGACAGCTGCCGCTGCCGCTGCGGCAACACTTTTCTTGCCTTAAGCCAAATTTATAGCGATCTAAGTAGGTATAAAGCGCTCATTTTGTGGCAGCCACGTTGACTTCGTTACGTTGCCAAGGAGTGCCCCACAGGAGTAGCAGGCGAATGGGGGCATAGAGAGAGAGAGAGCAGGGAGAGAGGACGAAAGGCTTTGTTTTTTTCTTCTTCTTCTTCAGTTGTGCCTCTCTTCACGTTCAAGAACAATAGAAATTGCACTGCACGAAAGTTCGGAGCGATTTCGTTGCCTAAATGAGGGAACAGCAGGAGTAGCAGCAGGAGTTGCAGCAGCAGCTGGAAGTGGGGCATTGGGAATCAGCGGAGCTGTTGACATGGCCGTAACAAGGGGCGCGGTTACTGTTGTGGACAGGGGCGAGGGGTTGTTGGCGACTCTGAACAAGAAAAAAAGAAAAAGCCAAAGAACTTCTTGACGGGCTTTCGCTTTGCGGCCTGAACAAGCAGCCAAGAGTAGCCAAAGAGCCTTTGTTGTGGTAAACAGTTAGCAAAGTGAATGGCAGCAAATGTGGCAAGGTGAGGAGGGGCTGGCCACCGGCTGGCTTAACTTGCAACAAGCTCAAAAATCAGCTTAAATGCGATTAGGCCAAAAAAGTTAGTCAAAAAGTACGAAACACGGGCGTGGCTAAAGCGCTGGCAATAACCGTTACACACAGCAACACCTACACACTCACATGCACACACACACATGCCACATGCTGTGGCAAATGCTCAAATGACATTCTAATGCCCGCTGCATCGAGCGGCTTGCAACAGAAATCGCATTTATCACGTATGGGCTGA